TGTTTATGATGTCAGTAATCACCTTAGGCTCTTGTCATGAGTTGCCAAGGCTATGGAAGCCTTTTGAGTTCACTGACTCTGATCATATTTAGACAAGGTCATAGTCAAAGTGGAAGGTCTCTCCTCCCTTCAGAGAAAGGTACCTCCTTCTTTGATGACCTGTTCTTTCCACTGGGATCTCACTCGCAGAGATCTTTCATTTAGGTCATTTCTTTTTTTTATTTTTTATTTTTTTGCCAGAGTGTCTTGGCTTTCCATGCCTGAAATACTCTCATGGGCTTTTCAGCCAGATCTGAATGCCTTAAGGGCTGATTCTGAGGCCACAGTGCTGTTTAGGATTTCTGCCATTCTATGAGTCTGCTGTGTATCCCGCTTCCCATGTTGGACCATTCTCCCTTTTTTATTCTATCAGTTAGTATTAGCAGACACTAGTCTTGTTTATGTGATCCCTTTGACTCTTAGTCCTATCATTATGATCAATTGTGAACAGAAATTGATCACTTGGACTAGTGAGATAGCATTGGTACATGCTACCTTGATGGGATTGAATTGGAATCCCCTGGCACGTTTCTAACTCCACCATTTGGGGCAAGTCCGATTGATAATGTCCCAAATTGTACATCTCTTCCCTCTCTTATTCCCACTCTTACATTTAACAGGGATCACTTTTCAGTTAAGTTTCAACACTTAAGAATAATTGTGTATTAATTACAGAGTTCAACCAATAGTATTAAGTAGAACAAAAAAATACTAAAAGGGATAAAATATTAAGTTGTTCATCGACAGTCAGGACAAGGGCTGATCAAGTCACTGTTTCTCATAGTGTCCATTTCACTTCAACAGGTTTCCTTTTTGGTGCTTGGTTAGTTGTCACCGATCAGGGAGAACATACGATATTTGTCCCTTTGGGACTGGCTTATTTCACTCAGCATGATGTTTTCCAGATTCCTCCATTTTGTTGCAAATGACCGGATTTCATTGTTTTTTAACTGCTGTATAGTATTCTATAGAGTACATTTCCCATAATTTCTTTATCCAGTCTACTGTTGATGGGCATTTGGGTTGATTCCAGGTCTTAGCTATTGTGAATTGAACTGCAATAAACATTAAGGTGCAGACAGCTTTTTTGTTTGTCAATTTCATTTCCTTTGGGTAAATTCCAAGGAGTGGGATGGCTGGGTTGAATGGTAGGATTATATTCAGGTTTCTGAGGAATCTCCAGACAGACTTCCATAGTGGCTTTACCCATTTGCATTCCCACCAACAGTGGGTTAGTGTTCTTATTTCCCCACATCCTCGCCAGCATCTGTTGTTGGTAGATTTCTGTATGTGAGCTATTCTAACCAGGGTGAGGTGAAACCTCATTGTGGTTTTGATTTGCATTTCCCTGATTGCTAGTGATCCTGCACATTTTTTCATGTGTCTGTTGGCCATTTGGATTTCCTCTTTTGAAAAATGTCTATTGAGGTCCTTGGCCCATCTCTTAAGTGTTTGTTTTGTTGTTGTGGAGTGTCTTGATCTCTTTGTAGATTCTGGTTATTAATCCTTTATCCGTTGCATAGTTTGCAAATGTTTTTCCCCTTCTGTCAGTTGCCTCTTCACTTTCCTGACTGTTTCTTTTGCAGTACAGAAACTTCTCAATTTGATGCAATCCCAATTGTTAATTTTGGCTTTGACTGCCTGTGCCTCCGGGGTCTTTTCCAAAAAGTCTTTGCCTGTGCCTATATCTTGCAGGGTTTCTCCAATGTTCTCTAATCATTTGATGGTATCGGGTCATAGATTTAGGTCTTTAATCCATGTTGAGTGGATTTTTGTGTAAGGTGTAAGGTAGGGGTCTTGCTTCATGCTTTAGCACGTGGAAATCCAGTTTTCGCAGCACCATTTATTGAACAGACTGTCCTTGCTCCAGGAATTGGTTTTAGATCCTTGATCAAATATAAGTTGGCTGTAGATGTTTGGATTGATTTCTGGTGTTTCTATTCTGTTTTATTGGTCTATCCATCTGTTTCTGTACCACTACCATGCTGTTTTGATTACAACTGCCCTGTAGTATATCCTGAAATCTGGTATTGTGATGCCTCTGGCTTTGTTTTTGTTGTACAAGATTCCAGAGGCAGAAAGAGAGCTAGGGAGTTTCATCCACTGGTTCATTCCTCCAAAGGCTCAAAATGGCCAGGGAGTCCTGGAACTCAGTCCAGGTCTCCTACCTACATAGGTGGCAGGGACTCAACTATTTAAGCCATCAACTATGTAAGCCATTTTCTGCTGCCTCTTAGGATACTGAGGGAGGGAGAAGTAAGCTGAAATTCAAAGTAGTCTGGACTCAAGTCCAGATCCTCTGATATGGGATGGGGGCTTCTCAGACAGTAACTTGACTGCTGAATCAAACACCCACCCCATGGATCAATATCACTTTGATGCATCCCTCCTTAGTATTGAACTGACTCCTATAGTCATTTTGGCTGATTTAATATGGAAGTGTTCACTGGTAACATTTCTATGTTCAAGGTCCTTTAAAATTATCTCTACTGGGATGTTTGACACAGTGGTTAAGATGGGTTCAGATGCCACTTGGGATGCCCACATGCCATATCAGAGTGCCTGGGTTCAAATCCGGGCCTTTTTTCCAATTTCAACTTCCTGCTCATGCACACCCTAGGAGGCAGCTGGGGATGGCTCAAGTACTTGGGTTCCTGCTATCCAGGTGGGAGATCCAAGACTAAGTTCAGGGCACCTGTCTTCAGCCTGGCCCAGCCAGAGCTGTTGCATGCATTTGGGGAGTGATCCACCAGATGGAAGATCTTTCTCTGTCCGCTTTTCAAATAAAATGGAAATTTTTACAAGTAATTTTTAAAATGTTTTAATTATCCCTGAGATAGGGGAGCAAGGCAATGGACCTGAGGGTGAGGGAGTGTGTGAGCAGTACAAAATCTTTATAATTATCAGTTCTCTTTGTTGTCGTATGGAGTCCACCATTATGTATACTAGACTTTTTCTGGTGAGACAAATTCCATATCACCTACATTAGCTGCCTAGGTACTTCATTTACTAACAGCCAATGCCACAGATTTCACTGGATAATTCTTTGTAGATTCCCAGGTCCTGACAAACCAACCTGTATCATTTCTGTTTCTTCATCATCAACACTAGGTGACTCTGGCAATGCTCTGGCTTGAATGCCTCAGGTTTGAGGCATGAAGGAGTGAGTCCTTTCTGGAATGTCTTGTCCCAAAGCTGTTTTCCAATGGAAGCCTTTTTAGCAGGAGGAAAGTTCTGGCTTGGAGGGTTGGCAGGTGCTTTGGAAAAGCACATGGGTCATGTACCCCAATTCCTCTCTTGATACTGTTCATGGCACAGACTCCCTCTAGCTTCTTTGCAATAGCAGTTATATTTATTTTTTAAAGTTATTTAAAATAGTACCTATGTTACCAAGTAGTGATATAATTAATTGGGTCAAACATAGCATAGAAATTAAGACTATGGGCTCTGTTGCTGGGTTGTCTGGGTTCCAATCCTGGCTCTGCACTTAAGTTTTAAATTATCATTTAGTTTTTAAATAACGACTTAAATTTCTTTATCTTTAAAATTAAGTGTTGATAATTGTTTACTCAAGTGAGTTGATACACCTTTAAAAGTGGCACAAAGCAAGTGCAGTGTTAACTATTAGCTCATTTTTATGATCTTCACTGGTTTTTAATAAATGCATCCTATTAAATGGAAGTGAGATTCAACAGAAATGGTAAAATGGAGGCTTACCCCTTAGAAATCTTCAGATGCCAAACTGTCCCATAAGCTCCATTCATCCCACCATGGTCCACCTGTTTCCTGAGTACCCGCTGTACCACTGGCCAGGGCTAGTGACTAGAAATCCCGATTACCGTGCCCTCAAGCAATCCTAGAACTAAAGACTCACTGAGCTGTAGTTTGCACAGGTGGACATGAAAGGGTGACTCCAAGGGATGTGCCTGTCAGCAGTGAGCAGCTGCATCCTCTGAGATCTAAGTAATACCACACATTTACCTTCCAGAATGCTAGGGGAACCACTTCCTCTGTGGCTTTTAGGCCCCCTTACTGTGCAACATGCAGTGCTAGGGGCTTGCTTGTAAGCACTAGAACAGCTCCTTGGAGGTGCGCATTCAGGAATTCCAGAACCAGGGGAGCCCCATGTGGACGAGGGCTAACCCTCTTTGACTCACAAAAGCAAATGGCAACGTGGCATCTAGAAGCAGGAATTTGTGTCCATGTATGTATGTGGGCAAGAGCAAGACAGTTTCCTGGCCTTGTCACTAACAATTAGAATGGATGCAAGAGCAGGCCCAGCCACCTCTGCCGTTCCAAACATTTGGCTTTTTGGATCATGGCAGGGGAATGTGGCCAGGTACAAAGTGGAGTGCAGTTGAGGGTAAGGCTCAAAGTAGTAGTTATTTACCAACTAGCAGAGAGGTACTTTTCTTTTTAACCAAATTTTTTTTAATTCCTAAAAGGATTCCAAAGCAGAAACCCATAAAGCCCTCAAGAATGACTGGCAACTAGGACTAGGAAGCCACTGATCCGAAATGCTCTCTCCATCTATTACCTCTGCCTTTCTCCGTAAGCAAACACATTCTCCTAAGCACACCAGCTGGTGCTTCCAAATTTAAATACAAGTCCAGCTCCAAGAGCTCCAGCCACAGAACAGGATGGGCTGTTCCTGAGCGCTATTCCAAATCCTCAGGGACTGGGCCAGCTTAGGTCTCATCTCTATGTATAGTAAGGACAACAGATACAATTAGACAACTTGTGAGCAAAAACCCAACCCTATGGAGGTGGGCTTGTGGCTGAGGAGTTACTGGGGACTCAACAGACAACATTCTTTACATACACTCTATTTTGCAGATGAAGCTAGAAAGGTAGAAGAATGTGGAAGGCCTTAAATGCCATGGCACCTTGATGCGGGAGACACGTAGTTTCCTAAGAAACCATCATCTCAGTAGATGAAAAATATGAGAGACAGGGAGCAATTTGATTTTGGACATGGTTTAATTACCTGCTAGATCATCAGATGGAAATACACAGTAAATGGATAGAAATAAGATTCATAAACTTAGTTAACAGACAGGAATTTTTAGACAGGTTTAGATTCACCAGACTGGACTGTTCTTTAACATTTAAAACTTTTTGCCACAAAAAAACATGTACTAAAACTGGTTTCCAGACTTATCTGAATTTTATCCTATAAGCATGATTTAAATTTATTTCACATTTCTTTAAATGTCAACTTCTTTTTGGTAAAGTTAGCCAAAATACTAAATTCTCATTTTAGAACTTAGTCTGTATAGTAGAGGGCCCTAAACTGATGTTCAACAGAATACCTTCCTCTAAGCCCTGAAATGTGTATCTTTTAATTAAATTGGCATTCTCAAAGATATTCTGGAAAAAAAATTATGAATTAAGCATCTATGAATTCTTCTTCACTTCTGTTATAGTGTATCAACTTGTCATCTAACCCATAGTGGTCCACCAGTTGAGTGAGGCTCAACTTCTTGTTCTCTTCAGACATAGCTGAGTGCAGTTCATGAAGCAACAACTGGCTACAGTTTCTCCACTTCTTTATTAATGACTGTAATTGAGACAGGTCATTCTGAAACAGAATGGGCAAAAAAATCCATATGAATGTATGTCATTTACTAGATAGTCATACTATTTAAACTTATTTAATAAAGTTGTCACATTAGCTGACAACTTTAAAGGCTAATCTACCTGGAGATGAATGGGACTGGGCTGTAAGTAGAATTATTACAATGCTACTCAATTTGAGCTTTGTGGCTATTTTGTTTGGTTCAAGCTCTAGTCCAACTTAACCCTTAGGAAAAAAATAAATCTTTAAATGGAATAAAATGATGTAAAGAAGGGACACTGCAAAGGAAAAATAAATCACTTTTTCCATTACAACTCATTTTAAAATATAACATTATGCTGCACCTTCTACTCAGTGTTGTTGTGAACCTAGAACCACTCTAAAAAGAGTGTTCAAGTTAAACATATGTTTCAACATTTTGTATCTCACAAATGTGTAAGTCATATTTAGAAAAATCCTAAAATTTCAATATAGCAAATGAGATGTGCCATTCCATCATTTATGCCATACTGCCAGGGAAGAATGAGCTCCAGCATATACATGAATTTTCTAAGTAATAAAGGCTATCTCCTTCCAAGTGCTATTTAATTCAACCTATCTGGGTTGAAATCTAAAATCTAATACTTGTTTTCTCAAACAAAATACCTAAAACATTTTCATTATTTTGGGGAAATCAAGATCATTACTAAAAATACTTTGATTGTTCTCTGTGGCCCATGTACTTGAAAAAGCAACAGAGACAGAATGAGGACAAGCTGAACCAGACAGAAGCCAGGAGCCTAGAACTTCATCTGGGTCTCCCATCTGGAGCAGAGGCCCAAGCACTCTGAGACATCATCTGCTGCCTCCCAAGATGCAGACACAGGAAGTTGGATCCAAAGCAGGGCAGCTGGAACCCTAACCAGCACTCCAATGTGAGATGCCAGCATCCCAAGCAGCAACCTAAGCTGCACCACAGTGCCCACCATCATTTTTTTCAGAGTTTTATTACTGGTGCCATTATTGAATGGCAGAGTGAGGAGGGATAAAGGGAAGTAGGGAGAGGGAGAGAGATCTTCCATCCACTTGTTCTCTCCCTAGATGCCCTCAATAGCAAAGCCAAGGGCCTGGAACTCCATCTAGGTCTCCTATGTAGGTGGCAGGAACCCAAACACTTGGGCTCTCATCTGCTGCTTCCCAGGAGCACCAGCAGAACACTAGATGGAAAGCACAAAGTAGCCAGGATTCAAATCAGGCACTCAAACATGGGCTGTGATGTTGAAGGCGGTAGCTTAATCTGTGCTACAACGCCCACCCCATTTTTAGCTTCCTTCATTCACTGTAAGCTGTCATTCCTGTCCCCATTGTATTTGCATCTAAGATTTGATACTTCTAATATTGCTGTGGGCTGCAGACTAGAAAGAAAAGTTTAAAGTGCATATGTGGTATGAACTGGGACCTTTAACAAGTTTTATCTTTTGTTTAGAGGAGCCTCTTCTGTGATTTATATTTGACTTAATAGTTAAAGGAAGCCAGGTTTCTGGATACGTGACATGCTGCTCACTATGCTAAGATACGTAAAAATTGGATTTTTAAAAGATGTATTTGTTTTGAAACCAGAGGAATAGAGAGGGGGAAAGAGAGAGAGGAAATCTCTCAACCACTGGTTCACTCCCCAGATGGCTACAATAGCCAGGGCTGGTCCAGTCTTAAGCCAGGAGCCCAGAAATACATCTGAGTCTCCCACATGGGCTGCATGGGCACAAGTACTTGGGACATCTTCTACTTACTTCACTGGAACATTATCAGGGAGCCAGATCAGAAGCAGAGCAGCCACAACTCAAACCTGGCTCCAATATGGGATGCAAGCATTGAAAGCAGTGGCTCAACACGCTGTGCCACAACACTGGCCCCTGAAGATGGATTTCTACTTCTGAAATTACTTTCCTGAAATGTATGTAAAAACAAAAATTGGGGGCAGGTGCTGTGGCACAAGGGTTAAAGCCCTGGCCTGAAGTGCCAGCATCCCTTATGGGCGCCGGTTCTAGTCCCGGCTACTCCTCTTCTGATCCAGCTCCCTGCTGTGGCCTGGGGTAGTGGTAGAGGATGGCCCGGGTCCTTGGACCCCTGCACCCACGTGGGAGACCCCAAGGAAGCTCCTGGCTCCTGGTTTCGGATTGGCGCAGCTCTGGCCGTTGCGGACATCTGGGGAGTGAACCAGCAATGGCAGACCTTTCTCTCTCTGTCTCTACCTCTCTGTAACTCTTTCAAATAAATAAAATAAATCTTAAAAAAAATTGTTAAAAATTCCTCTTACCTTCGATCTATACATTTTGACTAATTTTAGCCTCCGAAGAAGGTCCTCTTTTTCCTGAACCTGCTTCACCAATTTTGCTCTTTCTTCCTTCAGTCCTTGTATAGGAAGATTCTCCTTCATGAAGTCATTTTGGAGAACACTGCATGACCCTGTATCAAGTGAGGTAGCTTCACATGCACTGACGTTCTGGAATGTATTTTTCAAATGCGTACTTTCTTCAAGTTCACTGTCTATGCGTTTAAAACTTTCTTGAAATTCCAAACAGTTTTCTTCTGTGGCAGAGGGTGGCTTCTCTGACAAGTTCTGATCATTTTCTTCATTGTCAACTTTAAGACGTTTTACCACACTGTAACAGGAATTAAATGAAACTCTTGTTTTCCTTAATCTTTCTCTAAGTGTTGCACTCATAGGCTGAAAGGAGAACAAAATATTAAAAATGTTAACCAAGTCTTCATGTAAAGAAATGTGCTAGAAATAAAAGCCTTACATTTCTATAGTAGACACCACTAGGGGGCTTTCTGTCTCCACATATCTAAAGTAACCATCACAAAATGTCTTTAATTTCCAGAAGTTCCATTAATTTTCCTCTCTACCTCAGCCAGGTCAACACCCTTCTAAAGTCATCCCAATAATCAAACTTCTCTCAGCATCTAGCCCATACCTCCTGCTACACCAGATGCTATAGGATAGCAGACTGAGGAAAGACCCACTGCCACCAAAGTCCTTCACCGTGATAATACCGCAGATCCAGACTTCCTCACTTTGGAGTGTTGCAATAATCTAATCCGAAACTAAATGAATTGGCTCAGTATGCAAATCTGGAAGGGGCTGGTCACACACTGTATCTTAGAAGAAACTAAATGACTATTTAACAAAATATCTGCACGTTAATGAACAATCTTTGGAGTTAAACCCCGCCGATACTTAAGACTGAATAAGATCTCCGTACTTGTTTTCCTGAGCTCCTTGCAAGGGAAGATGGCGGATTCGCACAGGCCTGTGGGGTGCTAGGTGCAATCACCGCTGAGTCTGATGGGCTTTCCATCTTGAAAATGAAATCTTGGGTTACCTCTAGAACCAGAAAAAGTAATTATGAAATGGGACTCAAAATAACCATACCTTTCTAAAGTCCTCCATTTTTATCCAAGTATTTCTTTATTGGGCCAGCAGTTTTTTGTTGTTTTTTTTTTCTTCTAATTTGTTAGTTGTAGTTAATTCTCGCTATTTTTGGAGTTTTTCACTTACCTTCCCACACAAGGACAACTAGTTTTTTCATGACAAATTAACCTACTAGTATCTCATAGAAACGAGACTTGTTAGCCATGAAGTATCTTCCAAGTCTCCATTACGGGGGCAAGGGAGAATAACAACTTTAGATAGTGATTCTTTCGTTGTGACAGCTTCATAATTAAGAGACATGGCCTAAGTGGGCTCAAAAGGCATAATCGGACCTGAACTTGTCAATCATCCCGAACCCTAAAAGCCGCTTGACTAGAACCAGGCGTTAAGAAACAAGAAAATATAAAGAAAAAAAAAATCACGCCTGTCTGCACTTTCAGAGTAAAAGCGAACAGACACTGAAGAGGGAAGTCGACTGAAGCTGTCCCTTCCAACTCGGTGGGGTAGAACCAGAGAGGCGGCCACTCCCCTTTCCCCCATGCAGGGAGCCCGCCGGCCCTCCAGACACCCCAGGCCTGAGGGAGGGTCGAGGGCCCCCGACTGCGGAAAGGAACCTCTACCTGGCTTTTCAGCAAGCCCCCGAAGCCCAGCACTCAGACACCCCCCTGGGCCGAAGCACGCTACCGCCCTCCGCCAACCCCACAGCATTCAAACACCGCGCGGAGCCGCGGCCGTCAGCCGATGCAGCTCCAAGGGGCGGGGCCGCACAGGAGCGGAAGAGACTCCTGATTGGCTAGATTGATGCGCGCGAATCCGCGTGTCCGGAGACCCCTAGAGCGCGCGGCCGCGAGCTTCCGCCAGGGAAGGTCATGTGGCGGGGCGGGGCCGAGTCGCGTGATTGGCAAGGTTGACGGGAACGCCCTGCCTCGCCCCGCCCGGCGTCCGGTCTGGCTCCGGAGTCGAGCTGAGAGCTTCGGGAGTAACTCATGGATCCTGAGGGGGCGCGCTGGCGTCCGCGGCGGCCCTTCCCGCTTCCTTGTTTCTGTGCGTCTGTGAAGTGCGCTCGCTTGTGTCCCCAGCTTCCGTTCTCCAGGCTCCAGCCCGTCTGGTCTGCGCTCACCTCAGCAAAGACTGTTTTCAGACGTGGCGGGGCCGAACGCCGCCCGGCTGGCTAGGAACTCAAGTCACAACTCTCAAGACCACGGAAGAGCAGCGTTGGGTTCCAGCCCTTGGGGAACAGGCTTGAGAGAAATCGACCCAGGGGTGCCGACACAGTCGGCCGAGCGAATCCCTAGCCCTCTGCTGCCACAAACTCGGTTTTCCAAGTTTTTTAAATTCAAATATGAGGGGAAAGGAAGGCCAGCGCCACTTGTGGCGCAGTACAGGAAGCGCAATGCCCTATCCAGAACTCCGACGCTTCAGACAGAAGTGGCCGCGGCCGAGCGCAGGCCGAAAACCCCCTCGGCTTCCGGTGTGGCGCGGCTGTTGCTAGGCAACGGCGCCCGCCGCTCCGGGTGGGGCAGCCGAGCCGGCGCGGCGCTGAGCGACTTCTGACTCACGTGGAATCCGGGAAGTGTCCGGGCGGTGCGCTCAGTCCTCTTACGGAAGGGCCGTTGTAAACGGTGACACCGTCTCCTCGCCGACGTGATAAAAATGGCCCGGAAATAGCCAAAAGGAAATTTGAATCCTAAGCAAGCCAAGTATAAATAAAGAGCCCAAAGACAATCTAATGCAGTGATTAGCGGACGTAACCGCCCAAGTCACATTGTCAAACTCCACATCCCGGCGCTGTATTCTGTGTGCTTTCTAATGTGGTGTCCGTGTGCCTCGGTTTCCTGATCTGAAAATCGGGACAATTCCTGCCTCCTAGAGACTGGAGGATTAAATGGGAGCTCAGGAGAGGCAGCCACTGCAGTGCCAGGTAACTAAGAAGCGCTCACTGTTCTTTCATACGTGCAAATGCATTAATTAACCATCCCCAAACTGATTTAAAGGACTGCGTTACGTGAACTTTCATCCCTTTACTTAACTCTGCCCCCCAAAACAGAGATTTAAAAAATAAAGATGCCGTGATCTGTAAGATCCCACACGATTTAAACCATAAGTAGAAAACTTGCACATATAATTTATACTATGTTATACCTCTAAATTTTTCAAAAATTATATAAATAGGGGCTGGTACTGTGGCGTATGGGTAAAGCCGCTGTCTGCAATGCCGGCATCCCATATGGGCACTGGTTTGAGTCCCGGACACTCCACTGCAGATCCAGCTGTCTGCTGTGGCCTGGAAAAGCAGTGGAAGATGGCCCAAGTCCTTGGGCCCCTGCACCACTTGGGAGACCTGGAAGGAGCTCCTGGCTCCTGGCTTCCGACCGGTGCAGCTCTGACCATTGCAGCCAATTGGCAATTGGGGAGTGAACCAGCAGATGGAAGAACTCGCTCTCGCCCTCTCTCTCTCTCTGCTTCTCCTTCTCTCTCTAACTCTTTCAAATAAATAAAAATCTTTAAAAATTATATAAATGTACAAAGTGAAAGCAAGAACTCATGCTGTTGTGATACAGTTATTCATCCCCCCAAGCTACAGGTCTCAAGTCTGTGCAATTATTTCTCCCTTCACTTATCCACTGGCACCAATTAGTCTCACTGCAAAACAGAACAGAATGATTTGTCCTGACACTGGCAGCACAATGCAGACTCTGCATGTTCTCTATTCCTCGAGGCATAAGGGTGAGTTGTTTTTATGAGTCCCTAAAACCAGCTGCTTTTATCATTACAACCTAACCGAGGGCTGTGTTTTTGCTGGCTGCATAAAGCAAAACAACAGCTTGCCTTGCAGATGTTCTGACTTGCTTTGTTATGTGAACTGGTACATCAAAATGGGGCTATTGGGCCAGATTTTAGAAGAATTTCAGAACAAATACTCAAAAGAACTTGTGTTTCAGAAATGTGCCTTTGTTGACCTACATCTCTGAATTTGATGAGTTGTTAGGATATACCCTCAATCCTCATAAATATGTTTGTATTTTACTTACTCTGATCACATATCAAATTAGAAACTCACCTTCTGCTTTCAGTTTGGTGTAAGAAATCTACAATATAGCTCCTATACTTTTTTAAAAAATATTTATTATTTATGTATTTTGAAAGGCAGAGTTACAGAAAGGCAGAGGCCAAGAGAGGTCTTCCATCTGCTGGTTCACTCCCCAAATGGCTGCAATAGCCTGAGCTGGGCCAACCCAAAGCCAGGAGCCAGGAGCTTCCTCTGGGTCTCCCACACAGGTGCAGGGGCCCAAGGACTTGGGCCATCTTCCACTGCTTTCCCAGGCCATAGCAGAGAGCTGGATCAGAAGAGGAGCAGCCAGGTCTCAAACCAGTACCCATATGGGATGCTGGCACTGCAGAGAGCAGCTTTACCCACTAATCTACAGCGCTGGTACTTTTCATTGTACCTTTAGATAAAGCCTAACACACACTTCCTTGTATTTAGGGACCTGGCATCTATAAACCTTGAAAGAGTTTGGTGTTTCTGACACAGGATGTTGTATGTTTCTCCTCATAATTTTCAGTACTACCACAGTGAACCCAAAAGCAAAGATTCCTTACTCTCCCAGAAAAACTAATTTGAGCAATAGAATTCAATGATAGTAGTACTTCATATCAACCTCAGTCAGACTTTATGGGTATCTTTTTAAATTTATTCAATACCCAGGGTTACTGTTGGCCACATGTTACTCATCGGGGAGTGGTAAATACTGCTTCCCTTCTTGTCTGTGATGACTGTTGGTGGGATGATGATGTAGACTTAAAAATCCTTATGAGGGTTTTTTTTTAATTATTCTTTTTCAATGGCAAGAAAAAGGTTAGTGAATAGCCTCCCTCACCCCCATTTTTCAACACACACGTCACATACACACACACACACTTTTAAGCCACAAGTAAAATTACTGTTTTGGTAGATTAATTTTTTTTGAATTCTTGATTTAGGATGATTTTTTAATCTGCATCTCAGAATGATCTAAATTCCAGTCCATAGATTTTTCTGTATTGATGAAAATTTTGGCTCATATAGCTAGTATCCGCAGGTATTTTTTAAACAAATGTATAAATATAAACTCCTAAAACTAGGATTAAAATCCACTTGGGTGAGGAATCTCCATGTGTAAATCTGTGTAAATCTCCACGATTAAGTTGATTTATAATTTTCATTAAAACAAACCAACTGAATTTTTTTTATAAATGTATTTCTCTCTTTTTTATTTTTTATTTATTTATTTTTTGACAGGCAGAGTGGACAGTGAGAGAGAGAGACAGAGAGAAAGGTCTTCCTTTGCCGTTGGTTCACCCTCCAATGGCCACCGCGGCCGGCGCGCTGCAACCCCCCCCCGGCGCACCACGCCGATCCAATGGCAGGAGCCAGGTACTTCTCCTGGTCTCCCATGGGGTGCAGGGCCCAAGCACTTGGGCCATCCTCCACTGCACTCCCGGGCCACAGCAGAGAGCTGGCCTGGAAGAGGGGCAACAGGGACAGAATCCGGCACCCCGACCGGGACTAGAACCCGGTGTGCCACCGCCACAAGGCGGAGGATTAGCCTAGTGAGCCGCGGCGCTGGCCACCAACTGAATTTAATACAAATTTTTGACACTCAGAAAAAAATCTAAATTTTTTAAACATTCAATATTTCTATGACATTGTATATAAACAGATTGTCTTAAAAAACTCTTTCTCTTGCCATGAATTCAAGTCATGTCTTATAGACCTATATATTATAAAGAGGTGTTCAATGTTTTGTTATTTCATAAATTTCCCTTTGAGAACAGTTGACAAACTATTTCTGTTCCTTTCTTTGTAACCTAACCATCTCATATAGAACTCCAAAATGTGTAATTGCTTCACAACTGATGAAGACTTTGTTACCAAAGGGTAACCTTTGTGGGTTAACTGATTAATATTGTTGAGCCAAGTTAAGCAGAAGAGAATTTAATTTTCAACCCCAAAATGAGAGTCTTTGACTTAGCCGATTCATATGCCTGAGAGATTGTCTGAGTACGATGGTTACTTAGGACATGGAGGTTTGGGGAAGGCCAGTATCATTAGTGCAATAAAACCTTTCCTTCTCCAGGAAATTGAAAATTTATATAAAAACTAATATCCACTGGACAAGAACCCAAAGAGCTCCCTCCCTTCGCCTGAAGTTCCTGTCCTTTTATTCTACCAGATCTGGAAGTTTGTCAAATCCATTAAAGACTAGAGAAGCAAAAGTGTCTGTGATTCACTGCTCTAGCTGGGTGTGTTCCCTTGGAGAAGAATGGAGTGATTCAGGTTAGATTAATAACGGTGAGAGAAGAGATAGGGTGTGTGGAGGTGGGTGGTGGCATAGGAGTTAGTTTGGGAAAAGGTAATGGAAAGAAAAGTACTGCTCACGGCCACATCCTTCTCAGATGCTTTATTAACTCAGAAATGTCACTCCTCTGTTCATTTGGAGAAGAAAAGGCATTAGATGTCAGCAAATCCTTAAGCAACAGAACATGTCTTATAATCATCTTTGACCACCTTGAAGTTTGAGAGATAACAACCCCCAAGCTAATTCCACAGTATTGAAATCTGTTTGAAGTGCCGGCAAACACAACTCCGTTTTCTACCCTTGCCTCTCATTACTGTTTCAGTCCTGAGGGTGTAAAATGTTTCCTTTTGGTGATGTTTTTTCAGATGGGGCAGCAAGAATGTCTGACGATGCCAAGAAAAGGAGCGTGAGGTCATTCTACCATATTCTGTGATACCATTGAGCCTTTGGCTCCACTCTTCCACTCCTCAACAAACTTAGATACAAAGTATAATAGCAGAAATTTGGGGGCTCAGTTCAGGATCCCAGAACTGATTACAACTAAATCCCTTTACCACCACCCCACCAATGAGGAGAAAACCCTAGATCCTCAATGCTAAGGCAGCAGAAAATGTCTTAGATTTCTACCACCAACTTTATTTTCTTCAAGAAAAAAATCAATCTTTCTTATATTTTCCAATTTAAAGAAATAATGAAACCTTGCTGTATAAAAGGGAGATTGAGATCTTTCTTTTAACATGTGTTATATGACTGACCTGTATTCATTATCCTAGAACTGCTTTTTGTCTATTTTTGTATTAGACTTTCTTTTTTTATCTGTTCCTTCTTAGCTGTATTTTTTGTTTTGTTTAAGGTATATAAATTTCATGTATTTCATGTATACAGATGTAGAGCATAGTGATACCTCCTACTCCACCCTCCCTTCCATCCATGATCCCAGACTACCTCCTCCTTCCTCTCCTATTCTCTCTCTTAATTTTTACAATACCCTACTTTCAGTTTACTTTATACTCATAAAATTAACTTTACACTAAATAATGAGTTCAACAAATAGTATGAAGGAAAAAAACACTGTTCCTCAACAGCAGAGACAACAGCTGTAAATAATCACCAAAGCTCAAAACGTTGATTTCATGCCTGTACATTACATTTTTGGTACTCTCACCAACTTTAAGTATATACGTGTGTGTGTGTGTGTGTGTGTTTGAAAGGCAGAGCAATGAAGAGAGAGGGAAAGATGCACACAGAAAGATCTTCCATTCACAGGTTCTACTGTTTCAAATGGCCACAATAGCCAGGGCTGGGTCAGGCTGAAGCTAGGAGCCAGGAACTCCACCCAGGTCTACCACATGGGTGGCAGGGGGCCAATTACTTGGGCCATCTTCTGCTGCCTCCCCAGGCACATTAACAGGAAGCTAAATCAGAAGCAGAGCAACCAGGACTCAAACTAGCACTCCAACATGGAATGTAGATGTCCCAAGTAGCACCACAACATCCACCACTCTTTTTTTTTTTTTTATCAACTTTAATAAACGGTTTCAGACCCCCTGAATT